GGCCCGGCCGCCCGCGCGGGCGCGGCCTCAGCCCACCACCTTGTTGGGCAGCCCGTACAGCACCAGGTTGAGGGCGGTGGGGAGCCAGTCCGAGCCGCGGAGCCGGGGCCGCGGGGGCGGCGCCTTGTCCCTGGAGGTCCGAGGAGTCTCCTCTGGGGAGAGAGCGGTCAGTGGGGCAGAGACCTGCGGGAGGGCCGGGCCCGTGCAGCCGTGGACGGTGGGGAGGGCAACAGAGGCAGGGGCCGCCCTGGAGGGGCCCCACACTCCCTCCCCCGCCCCCCAAGAGCCCAGCAGCCAGGCTGCAGGCGCTGGACACGGCCCCGTCCAGACAGGCCAGGCTGCTCAAAAGCTGGCCCCGGCCCAGCCTGGCCTCCCTGGCTTTGCCCACCTGGCATGGTGCCTGCGCCTGCGCCCACTCTCCCGCCCCTGCGGCCCCCACCCTGGCCCCTCCCCACTCCCCTGCCCTCCCTGCTCCTTTCCTGACTCCCTACTCTGGCACCCCTCCCTGCCCCATCAGGCTCTTGCGCGGGGAGACACCCCTCTGGCGCCTCAGCCAAGGGTGGGGTGGCTGCCCCGCCCAGGCTGGAACCTGGGTCTCCCTCACCTTTCGGGGCCTCCTCTCCAGCTCCGAGTGTCTGTAGGAGGTGGACGGTTTTCCCGATGGACCTGCCTGTGGCCAGCAGGTCTGGGAAGGGGCACGGGTCAGAGAGCCCAGGGGTGGGGCGCCATGTGGGGGTGCGGGGCGCGGCTCAGAGCACGGTGGGGGGCCAGGGCAGGCTCACTTTCCCACAGGAAGAGGGCCCGCAGAGCGTTGTGCCGCAGGAGCGTGGCCCACTGGTTCCCCACGATGCTCCGGACCCCGACCAGGCTGAGGAGGATGGCCGTCTCCATGGGCTCCTCTAAGGACAGCTGCGTGGCGCTGGGAAGGACGAGGCCGAGAGCCGAGGGCCTGCTCAGAGCTCACTAAGCGGGCACAGCGGCGGGGAAGCGCCCAGGCCCAGCCTCTGCATCCGTGGGAGTGGCCTGGCGGGGCGGACCCTTCTGCCAAGGGGAAGCTGTGGGAGGACCCCCGGCGTCTGCCTGTCTCCTGGCCAGTCCTAGCTGGGCTGCGGTCAGCTGCTGGAGCTTCCCTGCTCCTGCCACTAGGGCCTTTGCCAGGAAGGAGCTGCGGCAAGGGCACAGGCTCTGGATTGCCACATCCCCGGTGGGGTCTGCGCATGGGGTTCAGGGACATCCCAGCCTGGTATATGCCGCAGGCCCCTCCCCTCCCCATCGGGCCCCTCCCCCGCCAGGCCCCTCCCCTGCCAGGCCCCTCCCCGCCAGGCCCCTCCCCTGCCAGGCCCCTCCCCACCAGGCCCCTCCCCGCCAGGCCCCTCCCCCGCCAGGCCCTGGAGCGCCTGGGGGTACCAGTTACCTCTTGTTCTCTGAGGCCGCCATGTGCCTCCACATGCTCTGGGAGGACCGCGTCAGGTCCAGCAGGACCATCAGCTGGCACTCTGGGACACAGAGGGTGGCTCAGCGGCCCGGGCAGGGGCTGGTGCTGCTTGGTCCAACTTGGCCTGCAGCCACACAGCCACCCAGGGGCCAGGGGCCGCTGGCGGGGGGCGGGGGGGCAGCTGCCCATCTGGGGTCCGTGCCCCGGGGTGCCAGTTTCCTGCTCGGCAGAGGGCTCGGCCTGCCGGGGGCAGCTGCAGGCACCCGATGGCCAGCCAGCCACCCGGCCCAGTGTGCCCTGCGCTGAGCTTGTGCAGGGACCCTCCCCGGGCGGCCTGGCAAGGAGCAACAGGGTGGGAGCGGCGGGACCCACGTGTCCTTGGAGAACCCGGAAAGCTCCTCGGGGCCCAGCTTGCAGCTCCCCGAGCGCTGCCCGGTGCTGCCAGGCACACCCATAGCCCGCGGGGGCCCCATGGGTCTGGGGGCACCAGGCGAGCCGTGGGCTCGGGGGCCCTGACCGCTCATGGCCACGCACCGCTCGTGGGGGCGTCTGCAGAGGCCGGAAGGGCCCGCGGGCAGCCGGCCGTCGGCTGCGCCTGGGGCCTGACCCGCGAGAGCGGCCTCCGCGAAGGGCTCCTGCGGCCCGTGGCTGCCGGGCCCCGGCCCGCTGGGACCGTGGGGAGCCGCCGTGGCCAGGGCTGCCGTGCTGACGGCCGGGGGCGCTCACCCTGCAGGTTCATGGCCGCCAGCCTCTCGGCCAGCAGGTGGGACAGGAAGCTCTCCATGCCGTAGAAGAAGCAGCCCTCGCCGCTGCCCAGCAGCTGCTCCCACTCGGCCTGGCTGCGGGGCGCCAGAGCAGCCGGCTCAGGCCCC